CCCCCCCCCCCCCCCCCCCCCCCCCCCGAGAGACGCGTGCTTCAGGGAGAGCGACGCCGGCCAGCTTACCTCCAGGAAGAGCTGGAAGCCATGAAGGAGAGTGCTGGCCTTCTGCTTCTGCAACAGCCACTGCCAGAGAAGGGCCAAGGCTGGAAGGTCCCACTCGTGGGTTTCAGCCATGCCTTCGAGGTGCCCCATCACCTCACGGGCGGCCGAACTGTCCAGGGAAGTTATGATCCACACGCAGAGACAAGGGAGGAGGCTGGCATCCTGCCCGAAGGAAGGAAGAGGAGCAAATCAGTATTTTAAAAGAGCAGAGACTGGATTTAATAATCCACACCCCAAAGTCCAAACCGGGGGGGTCCCCAAACTTGGCCGCTTTAAGACTGGTGGACTTCAACTCCCAGAATTATCCAGCCAGCATAGCTGGCTGGAGAATTCTGGGAGTTGAAGTCCACCAGTCTTAAAGTGGCCAAATTTGGGGACCCCCCCTGGTCCAAACTAGGACAGCCAGCCTGGGCCCGGAGTATTCTAGAGTCATCCTTCCAGCCCCCTCTGCCTCCCCTGGACTACCATCCCGGAGAGCTCCTACCTGGAAGCAAGCGGCGAGGACGCTCAGAACGGGCGTGTGGTGCTTCACCGAGGCAGCCAGGAGGTGCCGCCAAGGGCACGGCTGCTCCTGGCTCTGGAGCAGGACGCGGAAGAGGCTCTGCGGGTTCTGGTCCGGCCCCTGCAAGGCCCGCTGCCTCGGAGGCTGCAAGTGCCCCAGGGCCAGCTCCAAGTGGTCCCGCAGGGGCAGGGGGAAATCCCGGAGGAGCGGGATCACCTGGGACAGGGAAGGAAGCAGCTCCGTAAAGCTTTGAGCCGGAGCCCGCCATGCCGAGGAGGGGGGGGCTGCAACTCCTCCCAGGTGACGAATGGGGGGGGGCATTTTTCCCCCCATCCCAATAACCAGCTGTAGATAAGATCAGCTGTGCTGGGATTCCCCTGGCTGAGCCCCCAAAATGGAGGGAGGAGCTCAGTCCCCCCCCTCCCCGCTCCATTTTTGGCCTCCCAGGAAGCCACGCCCACCCAGTCACATGGCCACGCCCACAGAACCGGTAGTAAAAGCTTTTGAACCCCACCCACTGACCTCACCTCTTTGCAAAGCATTGCGACTTCGCGACTCCCCGGCCTTAATGCTGCTCCCCCCCCCAGCCAAACCTCAAAGTCCCGCGGCTCAGCTCAGCCCGCAGCCGCTGCTCACCTCCGCTGGCTGGTAGCCGTGCATTTGCGCTTCCGTCACAAACTGCAGCCATTCGTTCGACCGCGCACAGGCCCTCAGGTAGGATGTGCTCAGCTTGATGCGGTGGAGCTGGCAAAACTGGATGACCAGGGACCAGTGGCTCCTCGCCTCGCTTGACGTCCTGAAAGGAGGGAGCCTTTACGGGCCTCTCCTCGCCCTCCCCCGCCACAGCAGCGAGCGACGCTGCGCTCCCTCCCTCCCTCTCTCGCTCTCTCTCTCTCTCACACACACACAAGTAAATAAGGAGACCCAGGAAGTGAGCCATAGGGGAAAGCCCCACAGCTGATCTTTGGAGTTATTACTTATCCTAGACCAGTGGATGCCAACCAGTGGGCCGGGGACCACTGGTGGTCCACGAGAAAATTTTGGTGGTCCGCAGAGACATGTCACCTCCCAAAGCAATTAATCCAGGCTGCGCAGGAACACAAGGCTGCACCACCCACATAGCATGGCCTGTGGGAACACAAGGCTTGCGTACCTTGCATTGTGAACAACACAAGGTAGTGAGGGGAGGGGGGAAAGGGCGGAGGGGGGGAACTTGCCCCACTCCCCCCACACGCCTGGCCTGGCCACCGGGCTGCTTCTTTCTGCTTCTTTCTTCTTCTGCTTTTGGCTGCATGCAGGGAAAGCAGCCAAAGTCTTTCTTTCTCTCCCCCAAACTCCGCCAGAAATGAGTCTTTGGGACCCTGCAAGGCCTCCGGCTCCAAGAGGCTGCGCCGCAACAAAAGACTCATTTCTGGCGGAGTTTGGGGGAGAGAAAGAAAGATTTCTGCGGCTTCTGCTGCTTTCCTTGCATGAAGCCAAAAGTCTCTCCTCTCTCTCTCTCTCCCCCTGAGAACAGAGTTGGAGACGGTATCCTGTGATCCCAAATAAAGAATGATCGATCGGTAGGAAAATGGGGTGAGAAATTTTCCTGCAGACTTTTTGGGGGATTTTCCCAGGGTCTCTGGTCTGCGGGATTTAAAATGATGAGTTTGGGGGTCCCTGAGGTCCAAAAGGCTGGCCACCCGTGTCCTAGACCATGAATGAGGAGGAAGGAGGCAGCACATTCAGGCCAAACGTGATTTCTTCTTTTGGTTGATTTGACTCTAACATCTCAAACTGTTACCTGGCAGAATAGCAGCCAATACTTATACCGTATTTCCCTGAGAATAAGTCTTATTGCTTTTGGGGCAGGTCAACAACCAACAACTAACCCAACAGCAAGTGAAGAAAATACAGGTCCATACTCTTTACTTAATGACCCAAATTGGGACTGGGACTTCCAAGGGAAGCGATAGTTGGGCCAAATATCGCAACTGCACTGCTTCCTGATGGCAGCGGGAGCTCTAAAGCTCTTCCAGAGAGGGGGGAGGGCAACCCCTGGTCCTCTGGGCCACGGCGTCCCCCCTCTGGAGGGCTGTCCTATCTGCCCCTGTGCAAACCAGTCCCAGGCCTGGAAGGGCCTCCTCCTGTAGTGCAGCACTCAAACTCTTCCTTCCAGCTCGAAGGTGAAGCCTTCAATGGACACTCACTCAACTGACTCTGGTCTCCAGACCAGGGGAGCCCAGTCCAGCCTAAGGAACGTCCATTATTCCAATTCTCCACCTTCGCAAAAAGTAATGCGAGGTCTCAGACTCTGTAATGAATTTCTAAGCGTCTTGTATGAAATGGCAAGTTCTGCTTTCCAGGGGTAAACGGGACACGTTGTTTTTCTTGCTCTCTCGGTTGCCTTGAGACCAACCCAGGCCATCCCGAACCACGAAACTCACTTTTTTATCTCCTGGTGGTCAACCTTATCCCAGACGGCTTCCTCTAAGCAGACCAGAAGATCCTCGGCTGCAGCTTTCTCTCCGTCCGCCAGTTCTCCTAGCTTTTCAACTGGGAACACAAGAGGCCAGGCACTTTGGCTGAGGCACCATCAGTCCCACGCGGCAGGTCGCCCCAAGAAACCATCGCTCAGCACTATAGGCATGTGGTTTCTTTAGGGCGGGGTTCCCCCCAACCTTGGCCACTTCAAGACTTGTGGACTTCCAGCTCCCAGAATTCTCCAGCCAGCAAAGCTGAGTTGGAAGTCCACAAGTCTTGAAGTGGCCAAGGTTGGGGGGACCCCTGCTTTAGTGTGTCACGTCTACGGGGCTCATGCAATCACTGGCATACAACACTAATGAGACACATGATACGTACAGAAGCGTTTATAAGTTCAGAAAGGGGTTACGGGCAGAGGCAGGGCAACGGACTCTTCCGAGTCTGAGGGGGCTTCCCGCTCTCTCCCACCCCTCCTCTTCCTCTGGGACTTTTACTCAAGCGAGTTGCTTTGATTGCTGCTCTTCCTCCCGACCCCCAGGGGCCGCTCACCTGCCCGCCACAGAATCTACCTGCATTCAGCAGATTTTTTTTCCCCCATCAGTTAGGCAGGCATCTCCTTATCAGAGAGATGAGCAATTCAAATAGAAAGGGCCCCTAAAGCAGATTCTGCTCGAAATGTTTTCCATTTACTACTCTCACACACACACACACACACACACACACCATGGAGATGGATTTCTTGCCCACAGCCTTTCTAGGACCCCAAGCGAGAGGAGCACTTGCAAACGTTACCCAGGGACTGTCGGATGGAGAGGTGCTGGGGCTCCTCTTTCCCGGACATGAAGCTCAGAATCACGTTGGCAGCTTTAACGTCCACTCGGAGTTTCAGACTCTGCACGCCCAGCATTTCCAAGAAGCAGACGGAGGTTGCAGCGAGAGAAGGGGCGTAGAAAACCGAGAGAGCCACCGCGTAGGCCTGGCTAGCCGCTTGCTGGACCCTGGGAAAGGCACAATTCCGCTCTCAGTGGGGACTCCACAAACTTCATTGGGGATGAGAGGCCGGCCATTTACAAGAGTCCCAGCAGGCAAGCCAGTCTGCCCTGAACTCGTGGCCTGGAGCTCTCTGGGTCTCTTTCTCGTGCCTTTCGGGTGGAGGACGAGGAGGAGGAGGCGGCACGGAGGGGTCTTCTGAGATGAGGGACACCCTCACTGTGGCCTGATTAGACAAGAGCCTCTGAGAAACCATGCTTGCCCAGAGGGTATTCATGGCAGCACCTGGGTCTACCGTCCTTCTTACATTCACTTCTATTGTTCGGGGTCACAGGTGCTTCAACTGGTGGGTGTTGCTTCAGGTTAACAGAATAAAGGCACTTGAGGTGAGAGCGCAGAGCAGGACCTGGGAGATTCAGGTTCAAGTCTTCTCTCAGGCACAGCCTTCTCTCTCTATCCTGGCCCACCAAGGGACTGTTGGGGAGAAGGGCAGGCGGGAAGGGGTGTGCTACACTCATCTCCAGGAAGACGCACAGCGCATAAATCAAACGGATAAAAACTCAGTCTAACCGTGATGGCTGTCACAGAATCCCAGGTGCTTCTTTTAACTACTTACAGCTCCTTGGGGAGAGGACTCTTCGATAGCTGCTGAGCTAAAAACGCTCCGAAGGCGAACGAAGGGCGCTTGTGAGATAAGTAGTAGGAGAAGTCAAGGTGCTCAACTATGGCGTGCTTGTTTACGAGAGCCGAGCACGAGAAGTGAGGCAGGTCATTGCAAATATCTGAAGAGGACAGAAAAAGAGCAGAACTGCAAGCAGTTGGAACAAAACAAGGCAGCACCCGGCCCTTAACCCCAGAAGAGGAATTCCTGGCGCTAAAGCAGGGCTCAACTGCTACCGGATTAGATCCTGACGGCACGTGGAGGTCTACTTACCAGGAATGGCCAGCGTATTTGCTGACTGCCAGCCAAACAACTTGGTGGAATCAAATGGAGCCAAGCACTAAAAAAGGAAACATTCATTTCAGACCGTGGAGCACAAAGGGGGTGGGGTCAAACTCAAGGCCTGGGGGGCCTAGATCCGGCCTGCGGAGCCACCCTGGAAACAGCAAAGGACCAGCCCGCAGTGCCTCTGCCCGCAGAAACAGCCTCCCAAGCTCCGTTTTCAGCTGTGACAGCCTCCTGCAACCCCCGGCCAGGGAAAACGGAGCCGCAGGGCAGTCAAACTCAAGGCCTGGGGGCTGGATCCAGCCCGTGGAGTACTTCGATCTGGCCCATGGAGCCGCCCCGGAAACAGCGGAGGACCGACCTGTGGGGCTTCTACCAGCAAAAACGGAGCTCCACTTTCGCCACCACAGGCACCCCCGACATGAGTGACGCTGAGCTGGCCCTGCCCACGCCCACCCCGGTCCCTGGAGGTCAAACACAGCCGTGATACGGCCCTCAATGAAATCGAAATGTGACACCCTGTTATATAGTAAACTGAAACAAGATTTTCGCATATGAAACCTAATCAAACTGACTGCTATATTTTAGGGGTCTTGGGGGGAAGTCAAGCAATTATGTACCGGAGCAAGGATGGACGGTCTCTGAAAGGATCCAGAGCAGTTTCCAGGCTTGCCTGAACTTTGCTATTCTAAACAGTGCGTGTCCCACGTGGAGCGGAGGACCTCAAAGAACTGTGGGGGAGCATAAAGTCTGCTCCAAATGGAAGCCGCCCTTAAGGGGGCTCCGTCCGTGAGACGCCAGAGTAGGATCGGAAGGGGGCGCCACCTGAGGTTGCCTTGCTTTCGCCTGGGGCTGCCTGAAGACAGAGCTGCAGGGTTGGGGAAGGACCACCCCTGGGGACACTGCTTCCGAGGCTGAAGTCCTGGGCCTGCCCAAATCAGATCCACCACCGTGCCCACACTTTCCGGGTGGCGTTGAACCCTACCTGAACAAGGTGATAGAGAGAAAGGTCGGAAGGTGAGACTCCATGCGGAGTGACCTGAGAGAAGAGGGCAGCTCTAAGCTTGGGGTAAGGAGCAAGTGCCATCCTGAAGAGCTGCGCATCCACCTTCTCTCTCCCGTCTCCCTTCTGGACAATCTGCAACAGAAAAAGCACCGGAGTCTGCTTGCACCACCGATTTCCTGAGCCTTCCTATTCCAAGCGTTTGGAGGCAGTGCAATGGCCAACCTCTTGTTCCTCCAAAGAGGGGCCAGGCCAACGTAGCTGGCTTGTGGTTGGGAGAGGAGAGGTTGGGGGCCGTGAGCCTCCTTCAAGCCTTTAACCCTTTGTGGAGGGGCTGCTCATACCTGGTCAATCCCTCCCCTGGCGAACATGGTCGTAGCCAGGGCAAGAAGGGTTCGTCCCTCCAGCAGCATGGTGCTCACACTGGCCTGGTTGCTGGGAATCAAGATCTGGGCATTGGCTAGGCTAGCCTGGAAAATCTTCTCTGCATCTGGGGGCAGGAAGGGGAAACAAAGGGAACATTGTCCAAAGAACATTCAAAATAGATTTAGATTCATGACCCAAGCAATTTTCTTCCCTCTCAAATGTCTGCCAAGAAGATCAGTGTGCAAATGAGGGTCTACCAACTCCAACTACCCTCCCCTCAGCAAGGAACGGAGGCTTCTGGAACCGGAGGGCATGTTGGTCCAGCTGGCCTTTGAGGGTCCCCGAGGGCAGGAAAGAACCACAAGCAGACCCCACCCCCCCAAAAAAACCCTGAACCTCTCTGTTGCCTCTCCAGGGCTGTTCCGAAAGTTCTCCCCCCGCCCCTGTAATTTTAAATCTGACAGAAGAGGGAAATTATTAAACACAAAGAAAAATATACGTTTGTTGTTTTTTCCAGATTGTCGTTTTAGGAAAAGAGAGGTCAGTCCACTCACTCACAGGATCTAATGATCTCTTGGCCCTCTAGTGTGTAAGTCAGGATATTTTGTCCTGATGCTGCCTACTTTTTGGGGGGAAGGGCAGCCCGCTAGCCAGCAAGTCAAGGGTGCAAACAGCCCTTGGCCTGAAGGATGACCACACACGGGGCTTACTTATAGCTTTACACATCAAAATCAGTTTGATCCAGAAACCAAGAAGAGTTGAAAACCCATTAGATCACAAAAGTAGCTTTGATTCACTGAATCCCGAGACTGCACCATTCCGGACCGCCTCGGCTCCAAACCCATTTCAAAGGTAGGCCCTTTGGTGGCCAACTACGGTGCAAGGGGTCACCGGAGACCGTGAGAGCGCAGACAGGCCTCTCCTTCCCCGCAATGGGAGGCAACTGGCCTGGAGGTCATTCTGGCCCCTAAGGAGCAAAAGGCGTTTACAGAGTCAGGCGAAGGACGGCAACTGCCCCGGGGAAGTCCTGGGCCTGCCCAAATTAGATGTGTCCACTCCTGTGCCCACACCTGCTGGGCTTCCTGACCAAGGAAAGGCAAAGGAGTCCTTGCGGAGTTCACTCGGCTAATGGTTGCCGTCTCTAGGAGCTGCTGCCACTGAGCCAGCGCTGGTTTCCATGCAAGTAGACGAATAGTATCGGCTCTGCCGTTCCATTAAGACTATTCCAGCGACGTGGACTTGGGCAGCGGCGTAATATCCTCCGTATTAAATTACTCAGGCCTCGTGCTCTGGAGAGGACACTTTGCATACAGCATGGAAACAAGACGGGACGTGGAGGTTTATACCCGTTTCATAGCACGATACCGTCGTCTCTCTTGAGATTGAAGGATGCCAATTCAAGGTAAATAGGTACCACTTAGGTGGGAAGGCGGCTTTTGACCAAACCTTTGCCCAAATGAGATGCCAAGACGCCACCTACCTCCAGGATTGTTGGCAATGTCCCAACACTGCACTAAAAATTCAAACCAAGGATGTGCTTCACGGAGATCTTTATCGTTCAAAATGGGACAGTCTGATGAAAATAAACTGAAAATCAAGAAGGACATTTCATAGAATGACAAAGACAAAGCCAGCCGTGTCTCTCCTGGCCAGATATTAGCCGACCTAATCAATGTGGCTTAACAGTCAGTGGCATTGTGAGAAAACTGTCCTGCCTCCAGGGCTGGGGGGTGGAAGGGCCGGTTCCCACGAGAATCCCCCCAGCACAACTCTCGTTTCCCGAGTTCTCACAGCTGTCCAGCGCAAAGCCCTTTATTTCTCCCACCAGGCACAATGGAGACCATTGCAGGAAAGAAAGACATAGGGAAGGTAGTGCTTGGCCCGCAAGACCAACAGCTGAGCAGCCTCTAAAACCCCCCCCCCCCCTGGCCCCCCCTTTCACAGAACCTGCTGCTCCTGTCACGGCTCCCCAAAGGCCTGGCTGGCATCGTTGACGGCCCACCTACCGATAGTAATCCACGTAGGAGTAGAGAAGGTGGTCCAGGCCCCGTTCCAAGCAATAAAGGATAAAGCAGGTGTGGAAATCGAAGCCGCCTGCCGAGACGTAGCCTGGGAGAGGATGGGGCTGCTGCATCACCCCCCCGGCACAGGCCGTCCGTTGCAGAAGGCCTTCGAAGTCTTCCAGTTCTGCAGGCACAAAAGTCCCATTTCTGTCAAGGAAAAAGGCAGAGCAGAAATTGCAGCCGTGATCCACGAAGCAACCTTCCTTATCTTATTTTTTTTTTAGAAGAGTAGGTGACACACTGGATGGAAACGGAGACAATTATATGGACAGGGCGCCTACCTAGCTAGGATGTCCAGGACTTCATTGCGCAAGGAAGGGCTGCATAATGCCTTTTGTCCGACGGCTTCTAAAGGGAGCGGGGGCCAGTTTGCAGGGTCGCCTTTGGGCTGAGAGTCGGAAATCCACGAACTGATATTTACCCAATCGTGCCAAGAGGACAAATACATCCAGAGGGCCTCAGGATTATGGAACCTAAACTCTTAATTTTTAAAGAAAGGAACACAGAGAGTTAAGTGCAAACATTGGGTGGACCCTGGGAACTCCTCTGCACCCATGGAGGGTGGCCTCCCTCAGGCCGGGTGCCTTCCAGAATCCCAGAATCTCCTGCCCAGTGTGACCCACTGCAGATCAGTCTCAAGCTGATGTCCACAGGTGGAGCTGCTGCTATGTATTAGTGGGGAAGGAACTAGCCGGAGGGCTCCACCCTCCCTGGCCTATCCACCCCCCAGCTGCAGCTGAGCCAAAGCATTTGGGGAAACACCCCCCCCCCGCCCCCCCCCCCCTTTTCGCCCCAGCCCCCCCCCCTCGCCCCCACCTCCTTCCTCCTGCTGCACTGCTCCTCCAAGAGGTTTAGGTCTATGGATTCTAGAAAAGGGGGCCGGTTTTCATTCTGTTCTTCTTTACGCTTTTAACGTGGCTATCCTTTACCTGTTGCTGGACCCACAAAGGGAAATAAATGCCAGCTGTATTTTTAAAACAAACTTCCAGAAGCTAAACCATGTTTCTGTGCGTGCATGTGCATGTGTTGCTCTGGAACGATTTGGACAAGTCATTCCTCTTACGAAAGGTTTTTCATCCTTCTTCCATCAACCCCTCCGGAATAACCAAGCTCTTCCTCCGGTCCCCCGTTCGGGGGGGGGAAACCTGAGGGCTGCTTTAAGCCCCCTCTTCAATCCAGCCCCAAATCGGAAAATTCAGGTTGATTTCCGGGTGGTCTCAATTTCGCTCGTAGCCCCATCAAAATGCCACAAACGCTGCTCTCTGGAAGGAATGTCTTGGGGGCGCCAGGAAGGGGGTTGAGGTCTCCCTGTGAGTCATGGAGCCGCCCACCCTCGACTGTTTCCAAAAACAAAGCCGCCTGCGACGGAGCCTCCGGGCTAGAAAGCGGGAGCCTGTTCCGTTCACGGCCCACCCTCAGGCAGGAGAGCCAGCTGGGTGACTTTGGGGCAGTCAACCTCCCTCAGTCCGAATCACCTCACAGGACCGTTTTTGTGGGGGAAACAGGAGGAGGGGGACGAGTGCTGGAGATGTTCATCGCCTTGGGGTATTTATATCAAGAATAAAGGTGGCATAAAAATAAAAGTGAAAGCTGCAAATCCACGCCCCCACAGCAACCGATACTTACCCCCTTCCTGAGTTCTCACGGGAAGAAGGACCCTTTCCCGTATAGATGGATTCCACCACTCAGCCCAGTTTAGCATCACCCTGTGTTCCCGGTTATGAATTCTGTCTTGGGTGCAAGTCAGAAAAGAATCCAAAGAAGCAACATCGACAGAGTCTGGTTCTTTTCTCCAAGATCTGGAAAGGATAATCAAGCATTTCCTTGAAGCCCAGGGAATTGGTTCTTTCCAAAACTTCTTACCAAAGCCCGATCCTTCAAAACCAAACAACAAAATGAGCCCATGTTCCATAGCAAATACCCATCAGATTTGCCCTGGCCAATAGCTCAGCAACAAATGGAAGGGAAATATACGGGTCCCATGATAATGTTGCAGGTTCCAATCTGGGTGGGTCACCGGGACCGGCGGTTTAGTCTTCTGAGCTTTCCGATTTGTGCTGGAGCCCACATCCTCAGGGAACTTCTATCCCATCAGAATGTATGCTATTCTACATGCAGCATTTGTGGGGTGCCAGGTTGTGTGTGGGAGTATCCCCCACCTCCAAATAAAAGATCAGTTGCATTGGAGGCACATTGCTAAGATCGTTGGAGGTGGGAAAAACTTCTAATGTAATCTACTGGATCCCCTGCACGGATTACCCCTGTGATTATGAAGGACAGGCGGGGAGGAAGCTAACCACCAGGCTGCGAGAACACAAGCGAACGGTCAGATGAGGAGACCCAAATCATTTAGCAGCCTCACAGTGCAATAACAAGAACATACGTTCAATTTCACAGCTACTAAGATTGTTGACCGAGTAGGGACAAAAACAGCCAGAGAAATTATTGAAAAATGGGAAATGGGGCCCTTTTCAGTCAACAGGAGTGCGGATTTACCACCAGTTTATCAGGTACTCAGGAGCAGGAAACAACAGCCAAAGACTTAATAATTGGCCATCAACATCCCACATCCACACAACCAGGCACTCACATAAATACTACACACAGAACAGCCCAAAGCACACATTTTGCTGAGAGAGAATTTCCCTCCCCAGCATGAGTCCAAAAGCTCAGAAGGCTAAACCTCTGGTCCCAGTAACTGACCCAGACTGGATCCTGCACTAGCTCACCAACTGCACTTTCCCCACACCTTAAAAAGGTGGACAAGGAGGAAAAAGGTAGCTCATTTTTGTTTGGCTCACATGTGGGAATTTGGTTAATCCCAGGGTTGTTCCCACCTGTGTGACTGAACGGAAGACGCATTACCTGCAGCAGGCTGCACTCTTTTCCTTTCTTTGGAAGGTGCCTGAATAAATATTTTCTACCTCATACACAAAGTCTATCATCTCCTTCTCTGTTTCAGGAAGAGCACCTTCACCTTGTAGCACGAGCACCTGCAGAGTCAAAACAAAACTTTCATTAGTTTCCTTTCCATCCAAAAGACCCACACGCATTTCCAAGTTTCCTTTAAATTAAATTTTGAACAGGGTAAGGAACAAAGGGACAACGTTATAAGGGCAGTGCTGCCAGTCCTTTACCTATGATCAAAAAATGATGTCAGTGCAACTGAATTTCCACTTCAGCTATTAACATTTACATTTACATTCTGGCCGTTTCTGAGATTTGAGTAAAACTTAACAATCGGAGGAGTTTCCCACAATATTATTCTGACTTGGGCTTCACAAAATCATGAAACAGACTCCTTGTCCCGACAAAACCCCTTTTTATTAGTAGGCTGATGTGAATTCCTATCGTTCACATCCAGCAAGGTCCCGGAAAACAGCCTTTCAAGGGTGAACTGCAACCACAGACCTTATCAGGCCTGGAAAGCTGCCAGGCCGATAGCTTCTAAGCGCAACGCTGTACAAGGAAATACTTGGCAAGGGGTCTCTGAGAGTCACGAACAAATCTTCACACTAATTAAATGAACTAATTGTCTCCTGCAAACACCATTCCCCTTTTGCTCCTCTTTATTCCCTCTGGGAGGGGCCATTCACCGTCCACCTGTGCCCTTACTCTCGAATCGACCCTTGTTCCTTAACTGTTCCCTTCTCCTGGCAGCTCTGTGCATGCGCACACTGGGAACAGGCTCCAGGTATTCTTCTTCCCCACTGATCTTTGACTCCAAAGGCAGCTGATGACTGTCAGACAGCCCTGGCCCCATCTCTGCCTCTGATGCAGAGCTCTCATCAGAGCCTTCCCCAGACTCCAGGACTGGCCCATGCTCCTCCCCAACCTACTCACTGCCTGAGTCTTCCGCCAACTCCGCTGGCCGCTGGCGGGCCACAGCAAACACATGGGGAAAAATACAATTAACTGAAATCATTTCATGGGCAAAGATTTTTATTGAAACTTACCAAAAAGTCCCGGACATGGTAATCTGTTGTGTAGAAACAAATTTTGTGCAGTTGCTGCTTCACATTGAGGCCCTACCAAAAGAAAAAAAAGAAATTCTCCTGCAGGAATGTTTGCAAAAAACATGCATAAGGAAAAGCCTAATTCTCTGCATTGGCGTGAAAGGCCCTGAGGCCTTGGCTAAGGGCTTTCTGTGGTCAGTAAGCAGTGGCTCAAGCAGGCAGAAATGTCCCTGGGGATTATGGATCACCTTTTTCCCATTTAAACTCTAGCCCAGAAGAACAAAGGAGAAATAATTATGCCCAGGATGCGAAGATACAAAATCTATGTATGTGAAAATACAGCAAAGATTTAGAATGAGCTCAGTGGGGTTGCAGTGTTACTCACCATGTTCCTTAAAAGTTTGGAAGCTTCATTTATGTCTTTCTTCAGGAGGCTTTTGTAGGCCATCTCCAGACCTATCCGGGTTAGCTGCCCAAGATCCTGGGCAGGGTTGTGAGTCAGACGGAAAAAGACTTGTGCCTCTGGCACTCTGTTGCTTAGAAGGGCTTCAGTGACAGCTTGCTAGGAAATAAAACGGCCAGTGATTTCAAGATTCCCTCCTCTATTTCACCCTGAGTTTTGCATTCTGTTCTGAAAGGTTGAAGAGAGGAAAGGGAAATGGGGGACGGGGGTAGAACAGAGGAATTCTGCATCAAGGCAAAGAGGTGCAAACCAAGTGAAGCCAAATCCATCCTTTCAACCTGAAAAGAGCTGATCAAGGGCAATGTTGCATTAGGTCTGGGGATGAGCAGCAGTTCTGCTGAGTGGCGTGTGTGTGTGTGTGTGTGTGTGTTCCAAAACGGCTGGGAGTTACTAGCTGATCTGATAGTCAAAACAAAGCCCACAGCACAGAGGTTAACAGACCTAAATGTCTTCCTAAAAAGACCACAAGTCTGTATTCAGCAGCCAAGCTACTCCAGAGAGCAGGGGGTCCCCAAACTTGGCAACTTCGCATTGCTGGTTGGAGAATTCTGGGAGTTGAAGTCCACAAGTCTTAAAGTTGCCAAGTTTGGAGACCTCTGCCATGAAAGCTGTTGAACCAGTTAGATTTGAAGAGAAGCCATTAGCCAGCCTCTCCTCTCTAAAACCGCTGCTGCCATTTAAAAAAAGATTTAAGCTGATGACTATGAAGGTGTCACCAGATCATAAATTCCATGAAGAGATTCAGGTCTGTGTAGACAGCACTCCCTTTGCCCCGACCCCTCCATTTCAGGGGATGTCTCCAAGCTTAATTCTGTTGAAGGAGGACGACCACATAGCCTATGAAGCCAGAGGCCTTCCTGGATCCTTTTGCAGCTTAATTATTTATCCTTTTACGAGACAGTGCCCGGCACAGATTTACCTTTCCAAATGACTTTAGCACAAACCAGGATATTTACATAGCTATATCACCATTCTCTCTCTCACACGCACAAAATGATCTCTTGCTAAAACAATCACATCCCCACTCTGCTCCTTCCCAGTGAAATCAATTACTTTCAAGTGCTGAACGTGGAGCAGGCTCTGTACATGGCTGCAATTTGCTGTGCGTACATGTAATAAGGAAATGGTTTAATAAATTGAGATCACGGGTGAAATATATTCTGATATTTAAGCTGCATTCCGCTTACCTCTGTATCAAATTTTTCCCAGTGGCTTTGCTCCATTTGGGGTAGGTCATCTTTGGAATCCCAGGGCCGGCTTATGACACCGGATGGCTTATGAGGAAACCTGATCATAAATGTCCTGAGTTTAATGATGTAGCTGGTGAAAATGTCAACACACTGGAGCATATTTTCATCCAATTCTGTGAAGAGCACCAGGAAAACAATCGAGTAAAGCTACTGAAAAGGCTGCCAGGGGAGAATGGCAACTATAGAAGTTGCAGTGTGATCCACCACAACAACCACAAAACCACTACACCACCCCCTTTGAGAGGATCTGGGCTGGTGGCCAGAAGGAACAGGATGCTACTCCCTGGTTACTCGTCCTGCTTCTTGGCTGGACATGGCCAGCAGAGAAGGAATCAGGCCAGCTCCGTGGAAAGAGGTGGTGGCAGCAGACTCTCCTTCTCAGAGGCCCTGAGGGTTCAGGTAGCCACTGTCCTGCCGCAGCTTCCCATTTTGGGGAGAGGGGATACAGGAGCTGTGATACCTGGCTAACTACAGAAGGGTTTGAAAGAAGCCAACCTGAATTCTCATCAGTCTGGCTTCGGGCCTACTGCTAACGCTGAGGCAGCCTCACTGGTGGTGGCTGAGGAGGGAAGGAAACCTGCAGGACGGATTCCACTGAATGGCTCAACAACTTTCATCCCAACGATCGTAAGATACTTGTGAAACTCGGGTACATGGGTCTTCCAACTTGGCAAGTTTAAGGCTTGTGGACTCCAACTCCCAGAAT